CGACGCCCCCCCACCAGGGTGGGAGGCAGCCATCGCCGTGCACGCGATGCGGGCGTTGAGACGACGGAACATCGCAATGGGGGAGTGACACAGAGAGAAAGAGGGGATAATAATAATAATAGTCTTATTGGGGGAAATGTGCTTTGGAAATATTAAGAAGTGCGAAAATAGGGTTGTTTGAGGGTAATTGGTGTTAAGCGAATTATCTTCTTTGAGGGAAGGAGTACACTAGTAATAAAATACTGAGACGGTTGGGTGGAGAGTGAAGAAAAAAAAAAGTTTAAGGTGATTGTTAGTGAAAGAAATAGTATAGTACTGGTCCGACACTTCAGGAAAACGGCAATTGCAAAGTGGTTATAATAAAGAGTAAACCTTCATTCCAGAAAAAAAAGTAACTACCGTAAAGCGTGTGAGAACCACTTCTAAAAGTGCCCACACGAAGAGACCAATAATGGAATCCAACTTAATCATGCACTTTTTACAATCGAACGAAACCAGTTTACCGCGAAGTTACCAAATTTACTTACAAGTTAAGCGTGTACCATGACTTTTCTTTTTTTATATATTAGCCTTAGTACCCTAAAGATACGGCAATTAATTACAAACATCGCTGAACCCTCAATACACTCAAACAGCGCAACGTGAAATACGGCAAATAAATTCCTTAAAGAAAGTCAACAACGCCAAGATTGAGCACACTTCCTTATTTAGTTCAAAATCAATAAATATATACGCATTTAATTCTAAAGCGAGTGAATCTTCAAGTTGCCCTCGGTAGCCATGTGTTCGTCGAGTAAGAACTGCCGGATGTTCTCGCTCCAGTTTCCCTGGAGCTGGATCACGGTCCCGACATTTGCAGTTCTAATTAAAGTTCCATTGCACCCCCAACGACGCTGAAACTCCCGATTAATGCGGTTAAAGTTGAGCCCGGGGTTTAGGCCCTGGATGGTGGTCACCGACTTCTTCCCCGCACGCTGCTGGACACGTATATGCACCTGTTGGGCCTCCAACGCGGCCTGCTCAGCCTGCTTCTGCTTGTTAAAGATGATTGGCCCCTCGTCTGCGTCCATCGTTCTTATATTTTTTTAGTGTTTTGTTAGAGATTTTCCTTTTAATTAGTTATTTGGTGAAATGGTGACAACTAGGGCAAAAAAATTCAGAAGGTGAGGAGGAAAAGAAAAGCGTAGATGACAATAACATATCTACATGGAAGGCTTCATAAGATATCCGTAGATATGAATACTGTTTTAGCACAAGGATCAATTAAATATAACCCAAACATTTGGGATAGAAACAAGAAAAAACAAAACACACACGTAAGGAAGAGAAACCTTCACCCTCATGTTTTTTTTTGTGAATTTTATCGCGTGCGAGATGTCCTTATTTCTGGAATACAGGTGGAAGTTGTTTGCCAAACGAGATTACCACCGGAACTTTGAAACGCTCTATCATGGCTTTACTGCTATGATACCCTACTCGTTGAGGAACCTGCCCCGCATACAACCACGTCCGACGATCATGCGGCGCAGAAGAAGCTGTGATGGTTGAGCTAGCGTCTGCGAAGGCCAAACGACTTCTTGCATGGGCCCCTTTCCGACCAGACCCCACTCCCCCCTTTTTTTTAAATTAGCCGATGGAAATAGGTTTTGGGGACTTCCCGGGGACGGCGTTGGGCTCGTTTGATCGTTTGGGGAGTTCGCGAGAAGCTGCTCCTGCCGGCGGACCTCCCGTGCGCGTGCGTGGGCCTGCGCGAGGCGGGTCGCCAACGGGATAGTCGACCGCGCGCGATGCCGCACCGCCCGACGGAGATCCGTCGTCTCGTCCTCGCCCTCCTCGCCGAGTTGGTGGACGGCGTTTTCGGTTGGGGCGGTTGTTTGTTTGGCGTGTGGGGTGGGGCGCCAGTCCTGTGATTTCCCCCGAGGTTTCGATGGAAGGGATTGAAATCGCTCTAAACGCCGAATTTGCCGTTGTTTTTCCTCCTTCCGCTCCTTTCGCTCGTCCCGTCGAGCAGTGGCCTCGGTCTCAACGAGTTCGCCTTTGAGAGTGCCCTCCTCCTCCTCGTCGGAGAAATCGCTGTCAACCTCGTCCTCGGATTCCCCATCGCTGGGGGAAGTAAAGCTGCTATCCGTCGTTGCGTCGTCGTAATCCTGAAGAAGTTTTTCTTCCCCCGAATCCAGGCCCTTTTCAAGCAGTTCGCGAAGTAAATTCCCTGCATTCGCGCGTCGGGGTCGACCTTCCGCGATCTCCATCACCTCCTCCCCCTCTGGTTTTCCTTTGTTTGATGAATAAGACGCCTTAACTCGACTACTTGTGAGAAGATTTTATTATAGAAATGACAGGGATACACCGCGGAAAGGGATAATATTGGAAAATAGTTTTATTTAGCATAAACATACGATAAACCGGTAAAAACAACATTCCAGGAGAAGGCTGTGGGATTTTGGGGTTTATACCACTCAACTTTACACGTGTTAGTTCATTAATGCCAACTTTCAGTGTTAAACGACCCATTCCTTGCCAAAAGGGGAATGAGCAGAAAATAATGATCGCATCCGGCATAAAAAAGGCAAAGGTGTACTATTCATCGCCTGAAATACAGTTTGGTGGGTGGTTTATTTCTTCCGACCACGTCCTGATGGGGATTTGCGGGAATCATTACCCTTAGTCGGCTTCTTACCCTTTTTTGTCCCGCCGCTGTTTGATTTTACCGCTTTGATGGCCTCTCGGCGTTTGATTTTTTCCTTTTTTGAGGCTTCTTTGCGCATCCGATAAACGTTCTTCGCGTTTGTTCGATCCTTCACGACATTCTCCACCGAATCTTCGATTTGCTTCACGCGTTTCGCCCAGCGCTTGGCGGATTGCCGCTTTTTATTCTTGCGTTTTGCGATCGACTTGGCCAATCGCTGGGGATCATTTTTCACTTTAATGCCGACCACACGCTGCGCGGCGTCCTGGAGGAGGTCCCGGTTTCGCATTTGGATTCCCGCACGCGAGTGAAGAAGCGTTTTATGCCCGGCCACCTTCCGTCTGGCCTGACGGAGAAGGGAGGCCAGTTCGCGCATCCCCCCGCCACGCTGACCGACGCTCTTCAGGTCTTGAAAATCGAAGTTGCCGAAGGAAATGTCCAGTGGGATTTCCCCCTTTGTTGCGTGAGGACGTCGTTGATCAACGTTTCCGCTGAGGAGGGGGTATGCTTGATGATGGTTCTGATTCGCGTGGCTAGGGAGGACTTTTCGACGTGGAAATTGAGGTCGGTTGCCCTTAATAGGATTGCATTTTTCACGTCTAGAATCTTTTCTCATTATAAGCTACTACTACTTCTTAAAGAGAAAACTAAAACTAACTATACATTCATAGAAAATAAATAAATAAATAAATATATATATATATATAAGTTACTAAGTCCTCTAGAAAATTCTTTTTTTATTATTAATGAAAATATCAAAGCGATAAGCCTACCACAGACTCTTTAATGGAATCACAGGCTTTCTTTATCGCCACTGTCTTGTCTGATTTAAGAGAGAGCTTTCCCTAAAGCTAGCGTAAGTAGCTCAGCTTGGACTTGGCGCACATTTGGCGGGAGATGGTCACCGTACCGTTTGATTCGATTCACCCAACCCATCAGCTCATCATAGTGTTGCATTTCCAGATCCTTATCTTTGCCCTTTTTTAGATTAGTAAAATCATCCTGAAGGGATCCAGAGGTGGATTCCACGTCGTCCTGAAGTGCGTGGTAATTCCCTTCCACGCCTTCCGTTTGCAGCGTATTAAAATACAAGAGTGCGGGGACCGGCTCGGTGCGCAAACTTTGAGGATCCATGAGGTAATGCTGTGGGGGCTCACAGCCAATCGAAGGGGGCGTTTCTTTTTTTTCATCAGCATCGTAGGGTGCGTCGGATGGAATGCTTTCCATTTTAGACTCCATCTTGTCTTGGCTTGGCAATATTCTGCTAATGGCGTTTGGTGAAACTTCCGGAGTTTTTACCTTATTGGGTTCACCCAGTTTTTCTGTCGTGGAGTGTGTGTACAACCATCGGTGCTGCTCAAGGGCCTCTCGGATTCGAGAGCAGCCCTCCGTTTCGAAAGTCTCGACATGGCGAGAAGGCCGCATGGCCTTCATTCCTACCACCTCAATTAGGGAAAAATTCACCGTCATCGCATCCGTCGTATCCCCAAGATCCCCGCGGTTGTCCAATACGATTTGGTTCACCTCCGCAAAGATCTCATCTAGAAGGGCCTCATCACAGAGGTCCGCATCGATGATATAAAGAATCGCAAATCTTTTAAGGCCGGCGGAATCCCCGAAGGCGTTGGGGTGGGAGGGGGAGGTTGTGATTTCAACTTCGCCAGGCCCGTCCGCGTTTGTCAAGAAGGCCTCCTGCTCAAGAGTCCACTGGTTCGCCAAAAGGCCTTGCACGTTTTTCAGAGTCCCCGCCAGGTTTGCCGGGGATGGGCCACCCACGTGTTGGGCATGGCGGTGATGTTCACCCTCCGCCAGAGAATGGGGGTCCATTGTTAGACTAGTGGAGGTCCGCGATGCGAGGTGAAGACTCGCGCGCGTGCAAATCAGAATGAAAGCCTGACAACTCGCCAGAAAGTCCAGGGGTGGGACTTCCTGGCGCGATTGGAGGCCGCAGAGGCCGCCGTAAATCGATAGCTCCACGGTTGCGGAGAAGTACTTGTTCGACAGCCAAAATTCCTTTCCAGTTGGGAGGAAAAAGGGAAAGAAAGACGCCACAGAACTTTTGGTTTGTGGGGAGAGGGGGAAGGAGGGGAGGACGTGGGATAGAAAATGGCGCGCCATGCGCTCTTCAGCCTGAACGGAATTGGCGCACAAGTGCAGAAAACACCGATTACAATCTAAAGTATTTTGAGGTGTGATCCAGTGAGACCATGGCTGGGGTTTGATGGGGGTTTTCGTGTAGGCCCAGGATGGGAGGCAGTGCAGGACTTCTCGAAGACGATCGGCGCCGCTTATCCCCTCCTCCTTTCGCTGCGTTTCGACCTCGTTGGGGTTGAGAAAAGAAGGGGGGACATCAACGCCGCGATCGGGAGGGACCGCCAGAGCGATCACCTCAACCCCCAGGCCTCTACAAAGCTCTTCTTCCATGGCGTTTAGCGGCTGAGAAGCAGCTATTTTAACCTCTGTGATACCGAAATCTGCGAGTTGGTCGAGAAGAATCCCTAGGGAGACTGGCCGCTGCGGGGGGCTATTGGATGGCCAGAAAATAATGCTCAATTCGGTGTTAAAGCCGTCCCGCTGCCCCACCTCTTCCAACGCCCCCTGCAGAAGATCGCGCATCGCTGGGTCGAAAAGGACGGGATGGGCACAGAGGGGGACGACCGGCGCGGAAAAGTATCGATTAACAAGCCAAAAAAGATCCCCTTCCACCAACGCGGGCCCCTGCGACTCGCAGACAGGGTCGAGATATGGGTCATTTTTTGCAGTTCGAGATTCGGGTGCGTCCGAGGGGAACGGGTGCTCGAGCTCGCGCATTGAGATTGTGCAAAATCGGTTGTCCTGCCCTCCACAGCGGCCTCGATCGTCGAGGCTGACTTGAGTAAACCCCAACCCAACTCTCTTTGGGTCCTCGCTGATGACGAGAAAGGAATTCACGAGATGGGAGTTCGTCTGCTTTACCCGGCTAACCACCGCGGCAGGTTCTCCAGCCTGCGTGGAAAGCGGCCGGCGAACGGCGCTCGGCCAGAGCGTATCGCATAGGATTTGCCTGACGCGCGCGCTCCCCGTCAGACCCCCCTTCCACAGCCCGACAGACCCCAGCTTGTCGGGGATAACCTCGAGCAAGCCGTCCGCGCGATGGTGGGGGATGAACTCGAGCTGATGTCGACGGCATTCCCGTCGCCAGGCCTTCCCCTGGGGGGCGTCACCATCCCCGTCGTGGTCGACCCAGACGGCGGAAAAGAGCGCGTAGGGCGGGGGGAGGATGGACCACGGAAGGACCGTCTGCGGGTCCTGTGACAGCCTCACCGTAAAGACAACGCCGTAGGGGGCCGATGCCCCCTCCCCCCCCCCGCTCCCATCAGAGAAGGAGGCCTCTTGGAGGGTCTGTTGGATCCGAAGGGCCACACGGGAAAGGGAGGCCTCCCCGGAGGGCGGCGGGCCGGGGGCGTAGTACCCCACCACGGGC